TTCTTCTTCTTCTTCTTCTTCTTCTTGGTCTTTGTTCTCTTCCATTATTATCTTTGAGCCCTAAGGGTTCATGAACTTAGCCTGGGACTATTATGGGGTATGCGCGAACTCGGAGTCGTGATCCGCGAGCACCTGGGCCTCCGGCTGCTGGAAACGACGGGCAATCAATGCGGAAATTTCGTTTTTAGTGAGGCCCTGTTTTATTTCCTCGTTTTCGTTGTAGACAGACAAAACTATTCTCATAACATTGGGTCGATATGCAGTTAAATTCCGCGGCGTAATCCCTTTGAGGCTGCAGCGAAGCAACAAATATTTGTGTTACGATTCCGCTTGAAGCTGTCGTGCAGCCACACCAGTGTTGAGATATGTGATGTCTCAAATAACAAAGATTAAAAATATAATAAACGGAATAAATATATCAGCCCAGAACTTGATCGGAACTTTTTTTTTTGAAGTTCTAAAATTAAATGCATTTTTGAAGTCTCCAAGCAGCAATTTGAGAAATCAGCAAATTTACACAACAGTTCAAAAAATTTGCCACATAACACCAGCAGTGCGTATCATTGCAGCAAAAATAACAGCGTAACGTAATCGGCAGTAGCCAATTTAGGCAGGATGTTCTGAAGTGGGATAATTTGCAACCTCTTTCGCCCATTTTTAGTTGTTTTAAACTGTCAGCATGTCACCAGGAAATCGCTCTTGTTATATTTTCTCAAACTTGACTTTCTCATATTGAGCATTCAATGAAGGAATTCTCAGTAAAAGATGTCAGGGATTTTGACAAAAGCAATGGGGTTTTATACTTTTATAAAGAAACTTATTTGGTCAATCTGAATGGGACACAGCTTGGAATCTTATTGTTTATGAGATACAAAAATATATTTAAATTTATTAAATATTATTTTTCCCAAAAGGTTCACAGAAAATTGCGCTCTTCACACCGAATGTTACAAGTTTTCTGATTAATTTGATTCCTTTTCGATGGACTGTGCATGTGAACTTCAATAGGTGGTTTCTAAATTCTTATTCCATTATTTTCAGTCTTGATCGTAATTTCACCAAATATTGTCTGAAATATTCCAGAATACTCAGGAAATAAAGGATCCATAACTAATTGGTCCGCAACGAACTAAAATCTGAATTCACTCATTGGGATTTTAACAATGTTTGGTTCAGATGATTAAAACTCTGGTCAGCAAGGTAGAAATATTCCCGCGTCATAAAAGATGCTCAATATGCAGTAAACATACACGGTACTTATTTCAGGCTATAGAACCTAAACAATAGAAGGTCGGGTACTCATCATAACTTTCCTCTGGAAATTAATCCAAGACCAGCATCTGATTTATTCATCTCGAAATTGACCATAACATGGGCCTTTTCTATAAAATATACATGTTGTATTTCATCCAGCTTCATTATTCGTTGTGGCATATTGTTGGTCATGTGGATGAAATGATTTTCTAAAACTTGAAAAAAGATTAGAAAGATTCCTGCCTGCTCAAGAATACTGTAAAAACAGCAGAAAAATGTCAATAAATTAGAAACACGAGCCCTATCACAAAAAGCAATAAAAATTCATCATATCTTCGATGTTTAGTCTTAATAATGCATACTTTTTCGCTTAAGATATGATAGATGGAAGCCCTTGAATTTCTGAAAATTTGTTGAGGACGACAGTTGATGGATAAACAGATTTGGAATTCAGCTTCCCACAATTTCTATGAATCATTGTTTATAGTACTGTGACTGAAATCAATTATTGAAATTCCTCAATTTATAACTGAGGAAAATCCTGAATACGAGCAAACTTTAAAAAAAATAAAATATTTTTTAATTTTGTGGATTAGTGCATTAGAGATGTTTTTAAAAAATTTGAACCCGAAAGGAATTGTAGAAGAAGTTCCCAGAACTCATGAAGTGCAGTTATATATTTTTTTATCATCATAAAATTTTTTTCAACCTTTCCTCGGGAATAAAGCTCTGGTACAGTACTTGGTATACGAGTATTTCTCAGCTCTTTCAGACTTTAAATAAGTCGTTTCTCAGACAGAAAACAGTCCTCGGACAGGAATGGGAATTTCTTTTATTGTGCTTGTTCCTGCTTTTGCTTTTGCTTTCCCACGTATTTCATGGGCTGATTTACACTTGACGTCTCCCAGTTCTTGACCTTTGAACATAATTCTTTCCCTCCTGTGCTTTGGAAGCGACAAGCTCCTTATCCACTGATTCCCATAGACAAAATAAAAATCGCAGTCTGGAGATTGCTGAGCGAAAAATACACTCCGAAATGTTAAATTCCGTCGACATAAGAGTAAAAAAGCTTTAAAAAATCGTTCTTGCAGCACGAAATCGATTTATATTTTTTTTCGCGGTAGCATGTGAAATTGATGCTGTTTTTTTTTAGCGTATAAGTCAATTTTTAGCTCTCACAGCGAATAACCAACTCAAAATTTTCGAAATCAGCAGATGAAGTATATGGAAATTTTTGAAACTTTTCCAAAATCTCACCACTTCCCTGAACATGCAGCATTTTACATAAAACAAAGGAAGAAGCATGTTTCCGACGGCTATTTTGGGAAAATTAAATGTATTTTCAATCTAATTCTGTCTATGCAGAAACAAAGGAGACACGACTTTCTTTGTAAATCACTCAGAAAGTTTTGGACAGGTAAAGGATGCAGGTCCCCTTGTTACGGAGAAGATTTGAAATGAACCATATTTTCCATATTTATTGTCTCAGTTTCTAACTTGAAAGTTTAAAAATTGAGTCCTTTCTGTGTATGATTTACAGTGAATTACTGTAAATAAAATTGAATACACTACTTGGCATCAATCAATCGTCACTATTTATGCGTATTCGTAAGAAGTTTGAGAGCTTTCGAAAGTAATCCACAGAATTTAGAAACAACCAAAAAAAAAACATGATAATAAAAGTAAAAAATTCATTTGATTATAGTCTACTGGTGGTGGGCAAAACTTTTCATTGATCAAAGCTTTCAGAAAAATCTACTCGAATGTTTTCCGTTCTCCTCGAGAGATCTCAATAAATTTACAGCAAAACGAATCACAGTCATATATGTTGTATAATATAAAATTATAAATTATAAAACACCGATTTTCCTTGCTAGTAATAAAGTGACGGGTATTTTTAAATATATACAGCAGCTGATGAGCAATTTCCGAAAGTGGATAAGCCTAAGCTCAAATTATCCGATAAAAAAGAAGCAATATTCAAAATCCCCTTCCTCCATATATAGTAAAAGAAAAATTGATATGAATATTTGTCATAATATTTAGAAAAACCTTTATTTCTCTTTTCCCATTGCCAGCCAATGCTAAGAAATTTCACGAAATACTAATTCAGGACTCGTATCATGAATATCATTCAAGTTCATTCTTCTCTTCGCAATAAAAGAAAAAAGAAGAGGGAAAGAGAAAATCATGGGTTGCCGGAAATTCTGCAAAATTTTCATTTTCGTTTTAAACAGTGCATCAATAACATTCTTCATAATACAGTACGAGGACTCGTTTTGCGAACCTGATCCACAAAAATTTAGGCCATCCAAAAAAATGAAAAAAAATAGTAGGCGAGAAAATCATGGGTTCCTAAGTGTGTGTGTGTGTTTGATTGTCCTCTCTGTCAACTTCGAGACGGATATCACATCATACAGTGTATCACTCACAGTGAACCTCACTCGAGTACAGTGCTTTTTTTCACTTCTCAATTATTTTCGAATGAGAAGGTGAACGAAAAATCATCATGGGTTGCCTGGAAGCCAGTGTGATTTTCATGGTCGCCACTTGCGCGTTGAGTGTGGTCGCGCGAAAGTTGGCCAAAAGACACCTCGTCGAACCGAACCAAGACCCGTCAAAGTCGTCAGCCTGGATTTTGGCAGAAGAGGCCATTGCCACTTTCGAGCTTTGTGCAGTCTGCTACGAGTTGTCTACGGGTGAATAATCTTTTTTTTTAAACAGCGAAATAAGCTTTAATTATTTTAAAGGGCATATGACGTAAATCAACGTATACTCCGGGTTCCAGATTTTCCATCCTCTTTATGATAAGCTTGTCATTATTAATGCTTTCTTCATTTCCTCTGCAGACCAAAATTTAGATGTTTCTTCAATGAAAGTATGTCTTCATCGCTAAGAAATATATCGGCATTTTTTCATTGTATCTGAGCAGAAACAATTTTGATATCAAATTGAATTTGGTACTCAATAATGGCAAATTACGTCACGGATTAATTTATGAGCTTGACGTATTAAAACTCGAATGTTCTAATGCCAAGCATTATAAAAACGTTTTAAATTCTCTAGAAAATATCCTGGAAGCTATCCTGAACATAAGACAAAATTTTAAAATTTGTATTATTATATAAAACCGCATAGATTATTTCAACTATTTTATTCAATTTAATGTGGGGTATGTATGCAAGTGCATTCCAATCCTTGGATTACATTTAAAAAAATAAGTACAGTATTCTACCTCGTCACAAAGTTTCATAAGCCCATCAATTCCACTCCCCCAGAAAGTCTTGGGCAAAGGGAATTTTCAAATTTCTATTGATTTTCTCATAAAAGCCATCTTTTAATTAAGTTTTTGAAAAAGTTTTTTTCTGTTTTCGTAAATGAGGGCATCATTAGGTGATAAGTGGGACTGAATTCCAGCAAAGATAACGCCGATTTTAATGCCGTTTCTTTGAGTCAACCCACGATTTTTACCTGAGATGACATTTTTTTTAAGATAAGCAGATATTTCTATGTAAATCATTAATAACGGGAAATTACACATGAGCAACACCATGTGCAAATAGGATCCACCCAGTTTCATGTTGAACTTTCCAGTGATAATTTCATAGAAGAACCCCAGGATTCGATATTTTTCTGACATCACAAGACAATATATTTAATTTCGAAATACTGCTGTAGTACATAGAAGGATTCTGGTATTTACTGATGAGCTAGAATATAATGTCAAAATTCTTTCAACTCGTCTGAAGATAGCACTTTTTACTCAAATGTAAGACTGATTCGTGCTTCTAAAATAAGTTCTATTAAAATCTGGGTGCATCACCGCTTATTTTTTGTGTTGTGACTTTTGATCGTAAAATATTTATTTCTCATGAGCTCAAATTTGAAATCTCAAATGTAATCAAATAAAGTATCTTATTTCGGAACTTTGATTCAAATATGACAGTATATAAGATTGAAGAATTTCAGAAATAAGACAGATAAAATAGTGATCTTGAAAGTGTATACCTTGATGACACGGATGCGTCGGCCTCAAATCAATCATTAAAAAGTGCTCAATTACCGAAACATAATACTGAACTCGAGTAAATATTTGCGTGAAAAGTCATCTCCAAGTCTGAGGAACAAAAAAAAAACTGCAAGGATCTCTTCAAATAAACTGCATCTTAGAAAACACTGCTGTCAACTCCTGATTTCAACTTATTGAAGAGACTCGCGAGACTTCGCAATACCCAATGCGCAAAATTGGATTTTATATCGCTGATGATCCGAAAAAAAGAAGGTAACTCAAAAATCCGAAAAAAAATCAATATATTGTTTGGATTTTCCAAGTCGTAGGAATTGCGCAAAAGTCTCGCTGTATGCGAACCCGGCTTCGAACCGGAGCGATGAAATTCGCGGTCACGCTTCCGTTGCATTTTCAAGGGCGTCAAGACAAACAACCCCCCCCCCCCCCATCTTTGTTCCGTTTCTCCTTTCAACTCAAGATCCACATCCTGCGTTTTGCAAGAACAAGTCAAGTCCCTTTCGATTGTTGCCGAAATCGTCTTTTTTTTCTTTTCTTTCTGTCTGTCTTTATTTTCCGAAGAAACGGGAATGCGAATTTTTTCCCGCTAGTGCGAAAAAGGAGAGAGAAAGGAGGATGGTGCGTGGGTGTCGGGCGGATGGGCAAAACGCCAGCAACAGCGGAATGCCAACTGCACCGGCACACAGCAGTAGCACAGTAAAATGAAAACGGATTCTGGTACAATACTCGTAAAAAAAAAGAAGAAGATAACGAAAAAATTAAACGAAAAAAAGCGGTGAATCCCGATGGGGGGAAAAATAAAATCCCATCAAGATTTCAGCCGTAGGCGTTGGAATGAACTCCGTGAAATTCATTTTAAACAGAAAAGAAACCCCATCATGTCGATGTCAGAAGGGAAAGGTCCGTTTCTGCTACTCATCTCATACCTTATTCTTTCTTCTTTTTTTTATTGCCATTATTTTTAAAATTCATTATTATCCTCGAACTTCTTATGGGTTTTCTCCCTTTCGGCTTTCGCGGGGCTGGGCACGTTTTATTCCCGTTACTTTTTGATTCGTAAATTTGCGCGTATATATAGGGGATTCAGATTCGAAATTCATGAGATGAAGCACCATGTGTGGTCCTTCAGATTTTATTATCACGCCGAAACCAAAGAAAACTATACTGTTTTATGATGCTTTAATGGCCGAATTGAAAAAAAGTATTGCTGTAGTTTGTCGGAGTAAAGTATTCAAAAGTATGAAAACTGATTTGCGACCGAAGTTGCGTAGTGAGTGAAACACTACAATAAGCACCTGCAGCTTAATAAGCTAATTATGTATCACTTATAAAGCATGAAAAGTTAATTTTAAATTCATTCCAGCCTTCGTCTTCAACCAACGTCAATTAATTATTTTTTTTTGCAGTTCCTTGTGAAAATTCGAAATTATACGATGCACATTTTAATGCCTGATTCAGTTGTATGCCACTTACTATTGTCATCATTTTCGACACGCACCATGGGCTTTCTGAAGAAAATTGCCTCAATTCCCATTTGAATCCCATCAAAATCTGTACTGTTCTAAATATTCACGTTCATCACAAGCCTAATTTTGTCTTGCCAAATTGTCCTGGGGGAGGCGTGACTATTTGCAAGACCAATAATGTGTTCACGGAAATGCATTAATGATACTTTACTACGCCGCTACCGAAAGTTCGCAAAAATTTAGCCGTTACATTCGCTACTGTAAGAAACAATGACCCTATACGAATTTTTTCCAATTTATTTTTGGCAGAATCGACCAACAGCCAAAAATACTTCGGGATGGTGCAACGACATATATTTATCAATGGCCCCCAATGATCTTAAGGAACTACATAGATCTCAAATCAATTGAGCTCTTCTATCCGAAAATAACTTTCGGATAGAGCGCATGTCATGGTGATGGCCATACCAAACCCTTAGCGGACTCGAGCGCAGTTCAATACCCACGCAGCTTAAAAAATCTTTTGTAGATGTCACCTTTGCAGCGTTCTAAAAGTTTTTGCGCTGCTGCTGAACAAACGCGCTTCTGTGCGCAACTTTATAAAACCTGAGTTCCCATTTGTTTCAAACAATTTCAACTGTCTTGTTTCTCACAAAGTTCATCCATTTCTAAATACAAAAATTAAATTTGAGCTCTGCAAACATTTTTCGCCGCGTGATATGTGTCGAATTTTGTTAATATTTATTTCAACCCATACTCAGTTAGACTCATTTTGCGGAGATCCCTGCGGCGAATACTTTCAGGGGCGGCATAAAAAAGGAATGATGGAATAATAACTTCAATAGTTTGGTGCTAAATATGAAAAAAACCAAGCAGTTTCAGTCATGCTGCTGACCATCATGAGCTCTTTAAAAAGCATATACATCTGAAAAGATCGAATCTCTCAGAATAATTTCCATCTAGCGAAGCTATGCACAGAAGTGCAAAATGATGGTCACTAATACCAACTCTGATGACCCAGGGTCGTATATACATCAACAGCTAAAATTCAAAAAGTAAAAACATTTTTTGGAGATTTTTGTACGATTTTCAAAAATATTTTTGCATTTTTGGTTGTTAAAAAAATTATAAAACATCTTTGCGCATGCAAAACTGTAAAACATTTGAAAATTGGTTCAAAATTGAAATTTTAATGAATTTCCAAAGTTGGAATAACGGGAAATGAATTTTCCAAATTTCAAAATCCGGAACGAATTAAAATTTTTGACATTGCCGTCTATGGCTGATCATGTTTCAGGTTACGGACGTATCGGTTTACGGACGAGTTCGTGGAACGAATCAAGTCCGTAAACCGGGACACGACTGTACATATATATACGTATCTGAAACACTTCGGAAATTCGCAGTGTGTGATCATTTCGGTGCATTGTACTACGGAATCGGGCTGTTCTTGGCCGTCCTCTGGTGGGCCATGACCTGGGAAGAGGCCAAAGCGTGTCCCTACTTCCACTTCGCTGACATGTTGACCAGAAAACGTGGCATGTTTGACGGGCTTTCCCGGATCGCAGTGGAGACCGTCGCCGGACTTCTCGTCTACCCGTTAGTCAATTAATTAAAAATCCATGAACAGGGAAATTTCCGTTATGAAAAATTCCTATGGGTCATTTTCTCCACAAAAAACACGACATTTTACAAAGTCTCGGCAGAAAATATTTAGGATCAATGTTTAAAAACTAGAAAACAACGAAATGAAGCTGCACTTTAAAATGTCAGTACAGCAGTACAATCTTTTACGAAGGAGCGTTTGTGACCTTGAAAAAGCGTCTTTATAAACGATCATTCGTTCAAACGAAATTAAAATAACACTTCTGCTATTTCACGGGGACCGAAAAAACAAATTGTTTGTGCGCTTGCTGAATTCGTTATAAAGTGATTCATTGGAACGTTATTAATTGTATACGTACTACTGTACAGTATATACAAAAGAGATGGAAGAAATCATGGAGTCCAGTGCAGTGATGCAGTTCATATACAACGAACGTCTTTCATGCCAAAGACCATTTTCTATCCAATGCAAGATAACAACCTTTCTCCTGAATTTGCTGCTGTATATACAGCTGAACCACAGAATAGCTCAAACCTCCAAAGGTCCAAAACCGCCGAATTTCGAAAATGTTGAAGCCCCTGTCTGAATTCCCCTGCTGAAAAAATGCATTAAAAAACCCCCGATTCGAGGGCTTTTCTCCGTGAACCTCAATACTTCGGATTTTTTGGAGGCCCATTTGCTATTATTTTATCGGCACAGGAAAGAGGAAAACATTAAAAAGATACCTTGATGTGTTTTCGCAGGACGTGAAAGAATAATTGAGCAAATAAACCCTTGCCTCCACATTCAGCGTCGTCCTGTCAACTCATCTAAAGAGCATTTCAAGACCTATAATATCAACAACTACAACTTTCTGTAATTATTTCCTTCATTCCTCGAACACAATGCTTGTTTCCCAAATTTTAAACATCTCAAACTCTATTTTTTTTCTGGTCCCTTAAAGTTTGGCTGGAAGAGGTTCGATTGTATTTCATAAAATCTTTAAATTTCAGCATTTATAGTCACAGAAACTGTTATAAGTTCTTAGGCAAAAAAATCATTACAATAACTGTATTCTGTCTATTGAGGTCATCAAAAAGAGACAGCATAGTTTCAGTGTTGACCTCGTTTTTTCCTCCGAGTCACAGGTACGTGTGGACTTTTTGGGCTCTTGGACTTTCCACGGAACACCGACAGAAGGCGTTTGACTTGCGCTGCATCACTGACATGCAGGTACAGTATAGATATTATAATTGCATCGCGTTATTTCCCTGTCAATTACCAATTAACCCAAATTACTTTGCTCCTGCTGAGCACCGCGAATGACAAGCGGGACAAGTATCAAAGACCCGTAGGACACAGAGCCACTTACGCGAGAAAATTGAAAAATTCATGAAGCATGATCGCTAACTTGGTGGTTTAGCGACATCTAGTTTGAAAAAGCACAATGTGTAATGTTTGTTTCAACTTATTCCACAGGTGTCGCCAATGAATGCTGCCCTGGTTGAAGGAGCTGGAACAATGGCATGCGTTTTATTCTCCCTGTACATCAATTCAAAGGCTTCCTGGAAGATTTCAGCACCATTAGACGCACTTGTCAGCTCTGTCTTGGTGTGCTTTGGTAGGTGCTTTTGCAGATTTCCATGTATTCCTTGCTTTGGATTTTTCTGAAAAAAACGCATACGGTTTACGAGATCATAATCAATCTCCAGCACACAGCATAGATCACGTGTTGCTGATATAAATAATTATCTGTGCTTTGAATGATCCACAAGGTAGAAATACTGTACTCAATAGGTACCGATTCTTGCAAAAGGAGCTATCCGATACAACGTTGAGGAATCCATGAAGAACTATCTCTTAAAATGAAGTCAAATCATTCTCTCCTCGTTTCAAAATGCTAAAAAAAAAATCATTCAAGTCTACTTCTTCGGAAACTGAAGAAAGTTTTTGTCAAGATGCATATATTTTCACCATTTTGTTTACAGCATTGAACTACACTGGCGGATATTACAACCCTGTCCTGGCAACTTCTTTGAAGTTGGGCTGCGATAATGATGACTATGTGGACCACTTGGCTGTTTACTGGCTGGCATCTTCACTGGGATGCATTCCGCAGATGTTGTACCCTCTTATTCGATCATGAAGTTCCAATATTACATTCTTTGTTTTGGCATGCTGATTCCATAGAAAAACAAGGACAGTTGCCGAAATCATTTTCAAGAATAACCTCATTTTAAAGATTTGAAACTGAAAATTCTGTGTGACCTTTTTCTTAAAACGTTTTTCCAATTTTAAACTCGCGATACTTCAGTCTCCCAAGGCCCGTACCTGGCCAAAACATCGATTTAATCGATCAGAATCGATGAAAGCGATTAGTTTTCAATCAATTTTCAGCATTGTTTCTTTTACTGATAGTTTTTTGCACGAAAAAAGAAATATAAACGAATATATCGATTAAAGGGTACATTAGATACGTTCTAGTGTCCTGCTCGCAGAGAGGCAAATAAAACATTTCTCCAAACACATTTTAAAGATTATTCTGTGAAGAAAGATAATTCCGAAGAATGACCTTTATTCTCAATTTCAACTGTGAAAAAAGACAGCACAGCACTCTCAAATATAATCAAAGCTAGCAAACATGGGAAATCGCACTTGAAAATAAATTATTGGTATACTTTTCTCACTCTGGCCATTTTTGAAAATGTAAGAATTGTACAGTGTAAGAATCGTTTAATTCCTTCGGAAAATCATCCATATATCCATGCAAATCCTAGTTCAAAATCATGGAACTTTCAGAAAAAGACGTTTAAAGAATAGTAAATAAGGTCAACGTAATTCTTCCTCTGGCTGGAGTAAAATACAGTATAGTACTATACTGAACTTCCATCATCCACATATCTGCAAATAATTAAAAAATACAATATCTTAAATCTTTGAATTGATTTATCAAAAATCAGAGGTAAATCGGTCAAATGTATTTTCTCCATCAAATGCTTGTCATGTGATACAAAATAAAGCTGATTTTTCGAATAAAATTATATTTTTATTGCAAAGACTGTATATTCCCAAATAAATAATATATCATGGCACGGAACACCATACGGGGAAACAGCAACAATTTCGCTCGTTTATCAGTTCTTTTCTTTGAAATGGAGTAAAAAACAAAAAACAAAAGTGGACGAGGGTAATTTCACCTGCATCATTCTAAATCTGATTTTAAAATAAAAGTGATTCCACAATGGGACAAAAGATATAAACTAAATATTGAGTAAATAATTGACTCAATATATGTCTTCCACCTTCGGGCTATATACATCACACGTTGATCTCCATCCTTGTTTCCCCCCTGCTGGTTGAATAGCATTCCCAACAGTGTTTCTGCCCTTTCTATATATATATACAGTTCATGTTTATATATGCATGTATATTTTTGTTTTTGTTTTTCTCTTATTTTCTCACGACGAGGGCCCCATTCTTATTCCGTGTTTCACTGTCGCGTATTCGGCCACGTCCTTATACATATATAACTGGCAGCTTTATCATTACTCGCATCCGCTGCTTTTGGATAAGAGACGGACGAGAATGTGGAAAAGCTTCAGGGGTGGGTGAGGCCCAGTATATACAGCAGGAAAGAACAGGGGGAGAGGTGGGTTATATGCTCCAACGTCGTCGTCGTCGTCGGCGTCGTCGTCGACGTCCTCGCCGTCGACGGCACAACAGCGACCGTCGACGTCGCTCTCCCCCCCCCCCCCGGCATCCTTTTTGTACGTAACTCCTCGTCAGCGCCCGGTGACAGGGAAATTTCCTGAAGTCCCTTTCCGCCTCTTCTCGGGCATATATATCCACGGCTTTTCGGGAAAACCTGTGTCGAGATTGTGCCACTGTGTGTGTTGTCCGGAGTGGCGGAATATAATGCGTTTGCCGCGGGGCACAAAAGCCGCGAAACCGCCTTGTTTGATCAATGGCTGAGGAAAAGCGTGCTGCTGCTGCTGTGCTCATTGTGAGGGCCTTTGCTGGGCTGTACGATAGTCCTTCGAACGACGACGACGATGATGATGATGAGGGAGCCACTCGGGGAATTTAGCAGCAGCAGTGCTGCCTGCTGATGAGAAGCGATGACGAGTTGGCGTGTTTTTACTTTTTGTTTATTTATTTATTTTTCTCCCCTTATTCTTACTGCTTTTTCTTTTTTAATGATGCTTGACCGAGGCAGGACTGATTATGAAAATTCTCGATTGCTGCGTGGAGAGATAAAAAAAAAACGGGGTGCCTGGCATAGTATCAATTATATAGGGAATAAAACGCCAGGTAAACCCAACTAACTGCGCGTATACGGAGACAGGTGAGCGTCGGACAAATTTATCGACGGATAGTACGTTGATCATCAATCGCCAGCTAAATTTTTCGACAGTCATAATTGATAAACAAGCATTTTTTTATTGTAAAATCTCGTGCAAATAAACCTAGGGATATACCGATTGAGTTTTCTCCTGAATTTATTTAATTTTCTAGTATATATAGAGTCATAATATACGTTGTTGAAGGCGGGTTGTAATAATTCTTTGCTATATCGAAGATTTTTTCTATGTCCCCATTCTTGCTGCTTTTTTTTTAAATGATTGCTTGACCGAGGCAGGACTGATTATGAAAATTCTCGATTGCTGCGTGGAGAGACGAAAAAAACGGGGTGCGGGGTATAGTATCAATTAGGGAATGAAACGCCAGGCAAACCCAACTAACTGCGCGTATACGGAGACAGGTGAGCGTCGGACAAATTGATCGACGGATAGTACGTTGATCATCAATCGTCAGCTAAATTTTTCAACAGTCATATTTGATAAACAAGCATTTTTTATTGTAAAATCTCGTGCAAATAAACCTAGGGATATACCGATTGAGTTTTCTCCTGAATTTATTTATTTTTCTAGTATATACGAGTAGAGTCATAATATATCTTGTTTAAGGCTGATTGTAATAATCCTTTGCTATACCAAAGATTTTTTTTCTATGTCCCCATTCTTGCAGCTTTTCTTTTTTTTAATGATGCTTGACCGAGGCAGGACTGATTAAGAAAATTCTCGATTGCTGCGTGGAGAGGGGAGAAAAAAACGGGGTGCGGGGTATAGTAAAAAATTTCACAGCATCCAAGCTTATGATTTCAAATTTTCTTCAAATCTTATCTTTTTGTGAGCGGACATAGTTTTGGAATGACCAAACTTATAACGCGTATATATATACAGCAGTCAACCCCTACACAGTAGACTTAATTTGTACAACAGACTATAGTCTCTCATATATGAGAGACTATATAGTCTTTGAATTTGAATAACAGAATTTTCACACGATATATCGTGTGAAAATTCTGTTATGCAAATTCAATCATTAAAAAATTAAAAGTTTTACATTTTAGCTATAATTTTAAACCAACAGAAGTCTGTTTTGTGGATTTAGTCTGTGGTGTGGGAGGAAAACTGTCTCCAGAGCTGGTCTATTGTACATAAATCTGTTGTGCTGGAGGTCTGTTGTGCGGGGGTTGACTATATAGAGAAGCTAGTATCTTTTCAAAAGCATTTCAAAGTTTTTTTTAGCGTAAGAAGTAGCTGAAGGACTTCTGTCTTGTCATTGAAATAATTACTGTACTCAGAATCACGGCGAGATATGAGGGTTCTAACAAAAGTTCTCGGAATCAACCACAAGCCATCACCAAGGGTGGATGCAATTTTTTTTATTGGATTCCTCATCCTTTTTTAACCTAGAACCAATTTTTTGTCATCCCTAGACAAAAATGGAAACTGGGAAAAAAAAATTGAATGAGTTTTTTCTGGTGATGTGGCCACCCATTCTAACAGAAGTTCTCGGAATCAACCACAAACCTTCACTGGAGATGGAAGTGGATTTTTTTATAGGATTCCTCATCTTTTTCTTGCCTAGAATCGTTTTTTTTTTCATCCCCAGACAAAAATGGAAATGCAAAATAAAAACTTGAATGAGTCGTATCTGATGAAGTGCCCACCCACAACCAAAGAGCAGTTGCGCACATGCATGCTCCTGCACACACTGCTTTGAAAACTCTTGATTTCATTTCAAATTGGGGCATTCAGCTTTTTACTCTTCCTTCTTACTCCCCTGATCTTGCTCCCTGAGATTTTTGGTTGTTTCCAACTGTGAAAGAAGGGCTNTACTCTTCCTTCTTACTCCCCTGATCTTGCTCCCTGAGATTTTTGGTTGTTTCCAACTGTGAAAGAAGGGCTTCAAGGGAAAGTGTTTTTTGTCAATAAGAAAATTTTTTGACCCAAAAGTTTTTTTAAATTTTCATTCCAAGAACTTCTGTTAGAATGGGTGGGCACAGCACCAGAAAAAACTCATTCAATTTTTTCCCCAGTTTCCAATTTTTGTCTAGGGATGAAAAAAAAATTGGTTCTCGGTTAAAAAAGGATGAGGAATCCAATAAAAAAAAGTTCATCCACCTCCAGTGATGGTTTGTGGTCGACTCCGAGAACTTTTGTTAGAACCCTTTCATATATGACTCATATTTGCTGACGACTCCAAGGATTCATAATTCTTATTTCATTCATCGGAAAACGGTAAAAATGGTACAACGTCAACTTATCTATCGATATTCCGTCGCTTTCTTTTTTATCATTCCAAAGTGCCGGTGATTTTCTGAGATTTTTCGGATAATTCACGGTCCAACGTATACGTCGTTGCTCGGAGCAAGGCATAAGTTTTGTCAAACAGGAAATGAATGCCTTCGTTCCTCCATTCCTCACGCCAGGGGGCATTTTGTCATGAGAATGAAAAGAACATGCTGAGGGCTATAGGCGTCGTTTCAGCCCACTACACGTTGAATCCTTAATGACTCCTGGTCGCCTAGGAAACCGACGGGGTTTTCGACAGCCTCAGAAAATAATTCGGGTTCCGAAAAGAACCCCATATATTTCTTTTTTTCCCGCTTACTGAGGAATAAATCCTTCCCCGGAAGGTTATTTTTGGATACATTTTTGCCTCTTTATTCTGTTGACCTTGCGGGGAATGAGAGCAGGTAAATTGGGGAGAAACCGGCGTAAAGGCGAATTCACACAAAAAGGCGTTTGTGACGACAAGTAGACATAAAATGCACTATGGAATGTCACTTTAAAAATA